ATTGCTGCCTGATTTTGATGCTTAATTTGCGTGTTCTTATATTTTCATTGGTGCAGTGTATAACAACATGGGTGAATACTCGAAAGCACTGGAATATTACGAAAAAGATCTCGATATAATGAAAAAAGCTCTGCCTTCGACTCATCCCCACTTGGCTATGTCCTACAACAACATCGGTGCAGTGTATAACGATATGGGTGAATACTCGAAAGCACTGGAATATTACGAAAAAGATCTCGATATAATGAAAGAAGCACTGCCTCCGGCTCATCCCGATTTGGCTAGTTCCTACAGCTGCATTGGTAAAGTGCATAAAAACATGGGTGAATACTCTAAAGCACTTCCACTTCTAGAAAAAGCACTTAGTATTAGACTAAAGTCACTTCCTTCAACACATCCACATATTAAGAGTGTATTGAATGCTATAGCTCGTGTGAAAGAGAAGTTTTAAATGTTTGTTTTCTCTAGTATTTACTCAAATAAATTGCTTTGATAACTATTGATTATTTACCATTCGCGCGCGCGTGACCAGAAAGACCTGCCGTGTATCCAGATATGGATACGCATAGCGCGGACCACGCCGGACTGGTAGGGCAATGCACGTAGGTATCCCGTCCGTACGACGTCCGGGACCATACGCACATAATGCAGGCCTTCCCGAGTACTACACTACTTCGCCGCAACAGAGTGACACGAAGAATCTATCTGGGTCAGGGAACGAAGCCGCTCTGACAGGCTATCATATAGAACAAAAAAAGGAGTAAGTAAAATAATACGAACCTCTCTCGTCTGATGATATAGTATCATGGAGGAGACATTTGTTGTTGCTAAAGACGATCAATATAAATTTATCTGAAAGAAAAAAGTAAATTATTAAAGAAGTATTATTCTGAAATGTATTTAATATCTAAAATGAAAAGAAAAGTAATTAACATTTTTATTGTCCATATTGAATAAAAGAAGAAGAAATAGTTATTATTATTATTGTCCTTGATAAATATGAACACAAATTATAAACAAAAGAAAAGAAAAGAAAAATAAAAACACAGAAAGAATATGTAGTTTATTCATATTAGATACAAAAAAAAATAATAATAGAAAATTGTACATCTGAAACGAAAAAGAAGATCGAATGATTATGTTATACAGAAGTATCGTATACCCCCTTGATATATAACTATAAGTGTCAACCATTCCAACAATCATAATAGAAGATATAGAACGAGAAATAAAAAGACAGGTACAAGTAAATCAAATGAATATAACTAAACAAGAGAAAAGAAAACTAAATGAATATGGAGTTGATTTAGGTTAGATAAAAGGAAAACAAAACATATTGTCATTTGTAGAATTCCAAATTGCATCACTGAAATGAAAAAGAAAAGTATATTGTTTATTTTAAAAATTACTTATAGTGTTTTGATACTTAACGTTTTGTCAACCGTTCAAAAAAAAAACAAAAGAAGTAAATCTCGGTATAAAAAGATTTGATATAATAATAAATTTGGAATATATTTACTAATTCACAACTAATAACATTATTGCTGTTGATCGATGTGAACACACATTCTAAAACAAGAGAAAAAAGAAAACAATTTACTATCTCGTTTCTTTATGTTACATGAAAGAAAACAAAAACCATTGTCATTTGTAGAATTCCAAATTGCATCACTGAAACGAAAAAGAAAAGCATATTGTTTATTTGAAAAATTATTTAAATTTATACTTCATTGAATCGAAGACACTCAATGATCAAATAGCACAAGAATATCATACTCATATATACAGTTTGATTCTTAATCTTTTGTCAGCCGTTCAAAAACCAAAGAAAAATAGAAGATCTAGAACAAAAAGAAGCAAATCTGGAATATATTTAATATTTGCATATACTTACATTCATAAAAAGATTAATTATCTTTCAATTCTCCATTGCACAAGCCAAACAAGAATAGAAGAATAACAAATATTATTGCTGTTGATCGATGTGAACACATTCTAAAATAAGAGAAGAAACAAAAATAAAATATATAAGAATAAATTCTAATTTGTGGAATTATAACTTGCATCATTGAAATGAAAATATAATATTGAATATTTAATGATACATATTGCAGATTGATACTTGAGGGTAGATACACGCACACAGACTAAAGAAGAGAAGAAAAGACAAATTAATATGTAATTTATTTATATTAGATAACATAAAATAAAATGATTGTACTTTCCCTGGTCAAGCATTACGACGACTAGATACGGCGGTAAACGGCCATATCATCAACAGGAAACGACTAAATACTGCAGCCTATACGACCGTAAGTCTAAACCAAAAAAGAAGCATTCGTAAACCCCTCGGATAGATAGTGAGCCCACGACAGGCATCAATTATACTACATTTTCATACAGATCACATTAAACAATGCAACCAGCCCGGAAACCTCCTCCAGGTCAGACCGAAAATTATCAAATCACACTTCAAACAGATTGTTTTCGGAGTAATCTCTATACCCTAATACGCTCGGGATCACCTACAGTTGACTCCAGATGATTTTCCCTCTATCCTCAAGCACGGATCATAAGAAATCTGAAAAATACAAAAAGCATCAAAGAAATTCTGCAAAAATCATCTTTTGAACGTAGGATCAGTGAAGATGATGTCAAAAAATACCAAAAATCTGATATAGGGTAATAAAAGTAATAGCATGCTTGGAAATGGGTGAAAAATTTAGAAGAATCAGTGAAATCTCCTTTATCTTTGTCACGGAATTGGATCTTTCCGAGCGAAGATGTACCTGTAAAGATTGTTTTTTTCGTGCTTTAGTGGATCTCTTCAGTAGCGTTCAACTGGAATTCGATATAGGAACATGTTCAGTATAGACTAGCTTCAAAGTTTAACTCGGTTGCAAGGGAAAAGGATGTTTTTGTTCGATTTAGTGGAAAAGGTCAAGTGGAATTTCAAAGTGTGCAAGATATAAGGCTTCTAGAGATTACAGGGAATCTATCTATACTGCCATTTGTAATGAAGATGTATAGGAACTCTTGTATGTTGTACATTGTAGCACTGCAGTTTCTGATCTGCTGCTGTAATCGTGAAAAATGATATGATGCTGAAATCAGTTTTGCTCAAAGTCTGGTTTTTGATGGAAACGCGTTATAGGGAACTGCAGAGACAACGTGACACCGGAATGAAGGAGAAGTAGCTTGATATAAATGAATCTGAAAAGTTGGGGAGCGCGTCATAAATGATTTGGTAATATTTACTTAAAACGTGGAGCGCGTCATCTCTTCTGTCCTTACCCATAACGTTTTAGATGCAGAAATCATGCTTTTGGATTTTTTCAGTGAAACTGATCAGTAAGTGATCCGCTTTGTCGCAGATGCTCTATTAAGGATGGAAACAGATGAT